AGCGCGTGGTATCATTAGGCAATAGAGGATGGCCTAGAAGTCCTGTCTCATTCAGTATTTTCTCAATATCTCGGTCAAGGTTGATCGCCAAGTCTTAATCTTTTTCTTAAAAGAAACCTCATTCAATTTTCTACACAAAACATATTGAACATTTCTTTATATACTATAAGAATAAAAAAATATAGAGGAAATACGGGAAAGCTTCAATATGGATTACTTTCAAACTGAAAAAACAGGTTTTTCAATTTCAGTCCATTATATTTTGCGATATTAAAAAAAAGGGAAAATGGCCATTTTGTAGTTCTCGAAAAGCTCTATCAACTGGCTATATTTAAGACTCTTCATAGGCTCACGCAGTCGCAGGAGGCTTTTTTTGTTTTAGCGACTTTGCCAAAATCATCATTTTCTAACTCTAGTTTTGGGTTACTTAGGAAAATTTGATTGATCGATTTTCAAAAATACTTAGACCGTACCGAAAGTACTGTGATTTCGAACAAAAACAATACAAAAAAAGTTATTCAAGTTTTCAAGCAATAGGGAATGAACATGAAATCAGATCAGTAATACCATCACTGGACAAGTTTTCCCAAAATCTCTGATACTATAGGTGAACAGGATGTTGTTCTTCATTGAATGAGATTCTCAATAAGTGGCAAGGCTAATTCTTCGAAAGCGAACAATGGTGTCAAAGGTCGTTGAAAGATTGAAACAAGGACCCTAATGAATGTACTTAAGTGCGAGTACTCAAAGTCGTACTCGGCTGAAAAATGTCCCGAGTACTCATGAGTACTCACACATTTTTTTACTCATTGAAGGAGAAACTCTCCATTCAGTCCAAACGATCGACATTTGGTGCCATCTGTTCACAGAAATTAGGCGAGATTATGTTAGTGAACAGTTAGTATAAACTCATTTTCTATCTAGTTCAAGGCGTTACGTTTTCGAGGTCGAATTCGAATATGCTCCAGGAAGAGCAGATATCTCTTTCTATTGACTGTAAGAGATCGTCATCAAAGAGAGAGAGTGTGTGTGAGTCACTCTTCCTGCTAGATCTCTATTTCACGATCAGTTGACAGAGATCCAAGCAGAGCTGGAACCAGTTGAGAAAAGATAAACCGATCTGATCCGGCCGATCTGAAAGTGTAATCGGACGGTCTGGCCGGTAAACGGGCGGGTTGGAATTATAACTCAAACCGGCGAAAATCGGTAAAATACTGGCGAAACCTGGTGAAGTTTTTTGAAAATCGATTTTCAGAAAGAATTTCCCCCGCAAATGATGTAGTTTGCGAGCACATGTGAGAGAACCTTCACAATAACGATTCTATAATATTTAACCTTAAAACAAGTGATGAAAAGAATATCTGTCTTGAGCCTCGTCTTATTATTCTAACTGAAAAATACGTGAAATTTTAGTTTTTTTGACGAAAAATAGGGTAAAACGAGCAGATGTTTCAAAACTTTCAACCGGCGAAATACCGGTCTCTAACGGACCGGTTCCAACTCTGGAGCCAAGATCACTTTTCATTGTTCACTTCAGATTTTTCTATTCAATGGTCGCAATGCTGGTAATTTTAGTTGTTGGCTTACTCGCCTTTTACTGATTCTGATCTGTAACTATGAGACTTCACGCAATCCAACAACAATGACACCAAACATGTCTATGATGAACAGTCAACAAATGTGCCTTCAGTTTTATGTGACAGATTTGTTTCATCTACTCGAACAACCGATCAATCTTTTAGTGTATACGGCCAACGTGATTTCATCAAATATTGGCAAATTGACAGTTCCCACTTCATTCTTCACGTCAATTTACGCCTGGTGAACGAATGGCACAGAAATGTGACGTTGTATGAGAAAAGTTTACTTCGAATTGAAGAACATATGTGAATTAGTAACTCAAGAGATATGGACAACAGCACGAAAGGCTGTTCAAAGACTATGGGATTCATCTACTGTGATAAAGATCCTACAGTTCTCCTTCCTATTGTTATTATTATCGGTTGAAATTTACAATTGGCCGATAACGAAATAGATAGATTATTCCAGTTACAGGTCGATACTTTAATTTCGTATTTTTATTTTATTTTTGTATTGCTAATAATGCTGGTGATTTTATTTGTCGGCTCACCCGTCTTTTATCTATCGCTGATTTTGATCTGTAACTATAAGACTTCACACAATCCAACGAAAATGACACCGAACATGACTATGATGAACAGCCAACAAATGTTATTACTATCGGTTGAAATTTACAATTGGCTGATACGAAATAGATAGATTATTTGAGTTGCCGGCGGAAACTTCAATTTCGTATTTTTATTTTAAAACTAACAAAGAAATGCACTGCAAGTGTCATGAAGCGTTATGCACGGCTTGTTTTTACTGTCAGTAGTCGCATCCTATACTTATTGAAACAATTAAAAAGTAAAGCCTTTACTTCTAATTCGGCCTATAGAGTGAGTACTGGAAGAGATTCTAATGTTATAGGTAAATAAAGTTATGAACGCATAATGCCGTATTATGATTCTCCACATTTCAATTTCGATATCGTATCACAAAATTGTTTAATTGATTTGTACGGAAAGTGTGAAGATGAAAATAGTGTGCGGTCAGCCGCATCTTTTTCTGGAAAGATTCATGATGGATAATCAAGTATAGATAAAAACTGAAAATTAGTTATTAAGCGTTGAATTTATATCAACATGCCAGATCGATAGAGCCAGATTGTTTGTCGATTGATAATCAGTGATATAAAAGTAAAACTACCAACAGAAGAATTAACATAAGATGGATACAAGTAAAGGTGAACAAACGAAATGTGAAAGAAAAGTAATAAAGAAATTATTTTCTTGATTTATAGTGAAAAGTTGTGACCATACCCTTACGCAAAATGCTGGGTAATTCAAATAACGCAAAAATTTAAGAATCTATAGTGATTGTGTAATCTACTGGAATATTATAATTGCAAGAAGGGCACATATAATTGGAATGATAGATTGTATACGTGTTGTAACCTTGTGTTTTTTTATTTATAACATTGCTTCATGCTAGCTTTTCATCTTTTTTTGAAAAGAGTGTTTTGTAGTTGGTGGAATGAATGCTAGGAAAAAACGGTAAATAAATATGATTTAGTTACTAAATTATATTTTTTTGTCTAAAAATAAACATTTTTTATATTTCCATTAACTAACATTTAATAAAAATATATTGACAAACGTTTAAATTGATGATCAAATTCAAAAATTGTTTAAATAAAATTGCATCTTATGAACGATATTAATACACATGTGTTCATCTAGAGTTCATACTATAAGATATTCGAAGATCTATTGATGAACATCAAATATATTTTTTTAATTTTTTACCAGTAATAGTTGCTGATTTTCAAATTTTGTTTGGTTTAAAACTTTATTCAATAGAATGCTGGTCGCTCGAATACGATGACAACAAAACATTGCATTAAATATGCTGTTATACAAACTACATAAAAACAGTCATGTTAAATTGAGAGTACAAATACAAACCATGATACTGTTATTTTATACTGTCATTATGAAGTTTTTAAACAAAAAATTCAAAAATAACTTATCATTTATTTTTAAATATCGTGATGATGAACATCCATACAATTCTTGATATAAACACATTATCTAACGGATATAAATTTTGCTTTTGATATATAAATTTGTTTTACTAATTAACTGTCATCTTATGATGAAAATATAAAAAATTTATAAGTGAAAATTTTAGTATTGAATAATATTTTAAAATTGTTGTCGTTACAATTGAATAAAACGTATTTTCAAATGTAAAACACTTTCTTATATCTAAGTTCTTTCATATACATTTTATTTTAGTTGGTTAAATTATGGTAAACATATATTTTAAAAAATATAAAAATCAAAATATAAAGAAGGTATAATGTATACATTATATGAAAAAAGAGAGCATGTATATGTTGACAGATATATGAAGCTCGATTAGCGTACATTTAAGAGAAAAAACAGTAATTTAAAAGTAAAGTAATATTTTTCTGTTCTTTTTATTTAATGCAAGATGAGGAAATACACATTATGATAATCAAAACTGTCTAAACCCGTACTTTTTGTTGTTGTTTTTTTCATATGTATAACATAAATGCGTGGGTAATTAGAAAAAACGAAAGAAAACAAAACTTTTAATGAAAGACTGAAAAAACAAAGTGAAAAAAATATGATTATCAAGAACAGAACAGCATAGACACAGTTATTGACTTTAAAAGACAAAAAAAAACAAAAAACAATTTGTTCAATAATAAATTTACAGAGTGCATCACATATTAGTGTAATTCAAGACGAAAAATAATAACCGCAGGTTATGCTTGCAAATGAACAAACAAAAAAAAAAGCCAAAACCTTCGTATACATTGATAAAGTAAATGGGATTAGTCAACTCTAGATTAATTCATATCTGAGTTATAGTTGTTTGTGTAGAGAATAAAATACAAAAACAACAACAATATGAACAAGTGGTTATTCTTGTAAACAACTTTAAAATTAGATTTGACATACAAACTAATCAAAAGTTACTTTGAAGATAATGATCCATATCTTATCTACAAATTTTACTAAAATAGTATTTAATAAAAAATGCGAAAAATAATTTAGATGCATGTAGAACTTTTTAAGCAAGGAATGAATTATCATGAAAAATACTCATGATATTGATATTTTATATACTCATACTAATATTTAATCTGATTGCTAAACAATGATTTGTCTAATTTAATAAAATATCCTGCTTTATATTTGCATTCAATATCATGTCTGAAATGTATCTGGAAAAGTGTTGAGTCAAGGTATATTAAAAAAGAAGATCACGACGGTTTAAGTTAAAAGTAGTTGAAAAAAAAAAATGAAAAATTTGTTGCCTAAAAATGTCTCGATTATAAAAAAAAGTTCAGATCTCTCGAGATAAACACAATGAAGCTAAAAAAGCAATCCAATATAATTTCTATGATTTAATAATAATTGGTTCATTATTCGATAAATCGAGAGGCATAGCATCATTAATATTTTTTAATTTTTCATAATTTCGATGTGATGGACGACTCGACGATGAGCTTCCTCGTGAACGTGAACCACTACCACTTCGACCTTCGACCAAATAACCCATCAACTATGGGAAGAAAAAATAAAAATAAAAAATAAAATATATAAATTATCACAATTATCAGCCGTTTTGCATACAAAATAGAAATCAAAGTTAAAAAAAAAGTCAAAAGAAATAATAATATTCAAATGAGAAAAATAACGGACGTCTTTTAGTTTATCAAGAAGATTGTGATAGTCGTGTGTAACGTCCTCCTCGTCCACCAGAATGGTGACGACCATTCACTTCACGACGTGTACAACCTTCGAGCAGCAGAGCCAATACCTGCAACACAAGAAAAAAGAACTGTTGCAGCATTTTAACAAAATCTAGTTTTTCTAAGAGAGAAACCAAAGGACGTCCATTTCTTTCTTTATATTTCTTTTGACTAAACAATTAACTCCAAAATCTGTGACAGTGACAGTTGTGTTCTAGAAGAAGTGTATTTGACAAATGAATTTTTAATTCAATCAAATATTTTCTAGACTCAAAAGATATGCTATGATATCCTATCTAGTCTGTTGTTAATATAATGAAAATAAATTCACGTTAGTCATTTAACTATTGAAATAAAGGCAAAAGATGTTTCATTTATAAAAATATTCATCTACTCTACTTCTAAAAGATGTAGAATGATAAATTTTTGAATATAGTTTGAAGTATATTGTTCGATTTGAAACTTTTAAAGGGTATAAATTATCAAGTCAAGTAGAAAAATAGTCTTTAATAATATATCTTGTCGATCTAATACAACAATCTTATTAAAAACTAATATAAAAAATATAATAATCGCAAAAGTATTTCTTACAGTTTGGGTAAAACAGATCACTATAGGTTAACGCCACTGATAATTATTTCAATTTTATGATGGATAATACATCTTTTTTATACAAATATTTTGAACAATTTTGAACAATAAGAAAAACAAAAAAATATGGTGTTTATTTAGCTTTCTGAAAATAGTCGAAAAAAATGAAGCTATTTACTACAGATAGAGTTTACTTTTCTATAAATAATTAATATTTCTAGGGCATCGTTTGATTTTTAGAAAATATTTTTGGATGTGAACTTCGTTTATTCACGATTGTGGATAAGTTTGAAAGTAATTACTGAATGTATAATTGAAAAACTTTCGATCAACAACATAGAAACATGACAAAATTTCTTGTTATTCGAATTTTAGGATATTAAAGATAAGCATATGTTTAATTAAAACTGAAACTGTCACAGATACCACCAAGTAAATTAAAAGAAAAGTTATAAAAAAAATTAATTTCTTACTTTATTTTTATTGTGTAACGTTAAATAACCGATAACAACGATTAATGTAAATATTAAGAAGTACGTAATAAAACTGCCAGACCAAGCACTTTCATCATCGTCGGATTTTCTAGATTTAATGTCTAAAGTAAAGCAAATGAACAAAGATACAATAAAATTCAAAATACAAAAACAAGACAAGTTTGCTTTTTTTTAATTATTGTCAATCAATGTTGAACAATAAAAATATTTTAAAAGTGAAAAACTCACATCAATATCAAAACTCATCCTCACCCTCACGCCGTATAAGATGACATATTCAGTTGTGTCTTTATATAGAAGGCATATTTATTGTGCTCGACAATGTTCCCTATCTTTCTTTCATTCACTTGTTTTTTTTGCTATATCTATAGAATAAACTGACTATTTTACTTAGAAAAACCAAATTTTTCTCGATATAATCCATTGAGGCTTTGGAATCTCAATAATTCAATCTTGTCGAAAGAAAAATATCTTCGACGACTGAATGACTTGAACACAAGCAGCTTATACAGACCCTCCCTAATAACTGTACAAAAAGTTTGAAGTGTCTTGTTACTCTACATGTTTTCTTGGGTTTAATCCAAAAGAACAGTAAACAATACGTATTTGTTTACTTATATTTTCTAAGAAATGAACTAAAATTCGCAGGATACGTGTTAGACACATTCAGTATGACAATATTACACATAAGGCGTTAAATATAGCATTATTGTTACATATTATTTCACTATAAAAACTCTTAATGACTTTTTGTTCATGTAACGTTTGTGGCGCATTTTTATGCATTTGTACATTATTAAGTTGTAATACGATACAAGCAACTTGATCCGCATCGTTATGTTTATTCAGAAAACGAGAATCGCAACTAACACACTCACAAATACAAGCTTGTGTGTATATATAGGCAAGATAGATATGTAAAGTACGTTGGAATAGGAAAACATGATGTAATAAACAATGGTACCACAGAAAGAGATGATCAGGTAGTGAGAGATACATTTTAAATGTATCTCTTAGTAATACTAAGAGGAAAATGGTTTTCCTGTGTAACATAGGTGTAAAAGCTTTTAATAGTGTAGTGAATCAGGAGAATCTGAAAGAACTGACATACCATTAATTTCTCCCATAAAAACTTCTACACATAAACTGCTCTTAAAAAGTCAAGTAGAGAAACACAGTATTAACTGTGTTATTAGAACCAAAAACGACAATCTTTAAACCATTTTGATTTAGTACACAGGAAAAAAATACCGGTAGACATCCCGCGATAGCTCAGTTGGCAGAGCGGAGGACTGTAGATGCAACAGCAAATGTAATCCTTAGGTCACTGGTTCAAATCCGGTTCGCGGGAGTTGTTTTTTTTCTCATCGATGAGGACCAATTTTCTAAGTAAAATAGTCAGTTTATTCTATAGATATACTGTGGCAAAAATGGGGACCAACTCTGTCTCTATAGTCGATCTGTTTTTAATCTCATGTTCCTACATGTGTCTGAGTGTTCTTGGCTTCTTCTTTGTTTCGCATTCTACATGAGCTTCCTGTGTTATCTATCGCAATTCTTATTAAAGCTCGTTATTTGTGTCACTGCTCTTTCCTTTACCATAAATAATTCAGACTTACGAGTATCCCTGTCTTTTTTTGCCCTCTTGAAAAAGGTGAAAGAAAAGGCGTGATCGAGTCCAAGTTCCAAGTTCGAGTCCATCCTTGTTAAAAGTGGGTTTTTGAATTTTAAACCCTTCTCATGACGGAAGTTGAAGTTACACACGTTTTGAAAAAATTTAGAACCTGAGATAGAGCCTAAATCAAAAGTATCTGTAGTAAAATTTGGGGTTCAATCGGATCATTTTTTCTAGGGATCATAATGTGAGTGGATTGGAACCATCAGTGATTTCCACATTATAGAAAATATTAAAGAGGTCACTTTTTGCAGGGCATTTGCGATGATACTCATATCTCCGCGAAAAACCATTGGAAAATTTCAGAAGTCGCCTCGTTGTGAAAAGAACACTTTGCTCTATCAGACCATGTATATAAGAAATATCTTCAAAGGCACTGAAAACAAAAAAATTAATAAAACTATAACTGTTGACGTTTCTCAGGTTATTGAGTAAAAACGCAAACAAAAGTCGTGAAACGTTGAGAGTGGTCATCTATTGTAACCCGGACTTTTCTCTACATGAAACTATGTTCAACTCAAAATAAAAACTTTTGTAAAAAAAGAGATAGGACACCCTTAAACAACTTAAATCGTCTCTCTTTTACACTCTGTTTCCTTTCATTTATTCTGATCTGTGTGTTTATCACTAATTTTTATATGTCCGATACCTCTCACAGTTTCACCTGACGTGAAGAAATTAAATCGTCACTTAGCATAATCTTCCTTACCTAGATGCAACTGAGCCCGGCCTAAAGCAGCACGCTCGGATGAGTCAAAAAAAGAAGAGAAAACCGTGAGACTTGTAGAAAAATGTTTTGACTATTCTCTTCACAGCATTACATAGAACTGCGTATGTTTTCTTAAGAAGTAATAAATTTTGTTGAGAAGTGTCAGCTCTACAAATCGATGGTGCTTCAACAGTCATTGTTATTACGACTTCTATCAAATTGCCTCAGATTCCTATAAAGCCGTTAGTCACGTGAGAGAAAAGTAAGGATTGGACAACTTTTTGTGTAAGGCCTTCCAAATTCGAAGCTATAACAGTATTATATTTTTGGCTTACTCATACATCATTCGATAGAGAATTTCACTATGATTAAGAATATCTGATTTTAAGCCTTCCCAGTGCACATTATCAGTGAAAAAAATTCAAAAAAGTCGAAGGATCTCTTTTTTTAAAAACTGAATAACTTGGTTTTACCTCATTTCGAAGCAGTAAAACTATGTTTTTCTTATTCACCGTTGAAAACTACATCTAGAAAACTGTATTTCAAGGTTCGATACCAAAAAATATTTTCTGCGCTCGAAAAGGGATCGATATATCTGCGGTTTCGAGATTCTCATCTTGCAAACCTATCGAAATTCTTTGGCTAACACATGAAGCCAAATTTCATACGCCATTCGATTCGCCTTGAAACGTAAAAAAAAAGTGTAAATCGCTTTTTTTTTAAATTCCTTTCCGTTGCTGCTGAAAAAATTCATTTTTTCTCAACTTTTTGAATTTTTTTGACTGATAATGTGCACTGAGAAGGCTAAAAACCAGATATTCTTGATCAGCGTGAAATTCTCTATCGAACGATGTATGACTAAGTCCAAAATAAACTAGCAATATAACTTCAATTTGGAGTGCCTTATATATCAAACAAGTGAATACGCACCATCTTTTTTAGGTTTGTTTTTATTTTTGTCATTTACAGGTTTCTCTTCGTTTGTTTCTGGCATTTTTTGGTCTTTCGGTTGCGATTTATCGTCAACTAAAAAACATAATAAACAAATTTTGATTAGTTAAAGTCCATATCAAATAAAAACACACATGCATCTCTATTTATTAACCCAAGAAAAGCGAATGAGAACGCTTCTCATCATATATACTATATATGCTGCTGATTAAATAGCTACTAGCATGCACGAACAGTACATGTTTTTAGTGCATTCTCATGCTATTATAAAAAGACAAGCAGACTAACACACTTCGATAGAGTTAAGAAATTGGGTTCAAAAATGCAGTTAGTTTATATATAGATGAAAGAGCTACCTTCAGTGTCCTCTTCTTGGTCAGGCTGCTCATTTTCTAATTCGCCGCTTTGCCTATTAAATTCATCCTCCGTATCTTTATTATTTGTCTGAACATCTGACGGCTTATCAGCGTCTTCGCCTAAGTTTGAATCGCCGTCATTCACATCTCCTTCTTCTGTCTCTCCTTCAGGAGCATCAGCAGTTTCATTTTTTACACCTTCTTCATCTGCCTCGGAATCGGGCTCATCATCTACAAAAGCAATTTAGAAACATAAATTAGATCTATGAAGTGGATATTAATACTTATTTTGCTCAATTCTAGATACTCGAAATATTAGACTAAGAAATTATTTTACTATTGAAAATATGAAAGTTTAGGCTACATGTACATAATTTCTGAATAACTCGAGAATAAAAAGAGCTAGAGAGTTCGGTTTTTTAGCATTTTGTAGCGGAAATCTAAGGCTATATTTCATATTAAATGCATTTCAACAATCTTTTATCCAGTAGGTTCTTAGATGATCTGAAAAAACAGTTCAAACCTCCAAAAAGTGGAAGTACAATAATTTGATTTTTTCATGAATAGATAGTCGCAAGTGTCCTCTTCAAAATGCTAAAAATCAAAAACAAAAAACTCTCTAGCTCTTTTCGTTTTCGAGTTATTCAAAAAATATGTGAGTCCACTCGGTTGTGAAATCATAGTAGTTGGCATGGACGTCTCTGTAAGCCAATGAAAAAACTAAACTGTCATACCTTAGCAATATTTCCTTTCATCGATGTTTTTTGTCATTAACAGTGGAATATCACTTTACATGCTAACATAGCTTAAAAGGTGTGTAGTATAAGCAAATATCGTTTTAGTCGCAAGTTATGGTAAACTATCGCTTTAAAATATATTAGTCCTATCCTTCCTTCTATCTTCCATTAAAAATCGCGAATGTAAGTGCTAATCTTTTTTTCTACCTTCAGCTTCAACTCTCCGAAATTGATCATCGGGGTCTGGTTGTTCTTTAATATAGAAAAAAAAGAAATATTTGCGTTTTGTAACAGGGAGTAGGCTATACATACTTTGCTCTCCGTTTCCAACTTTCAAATTTTCATCGTCATCTTTGTTGCCATCAGTTGGTTCCTCATCACTATTACCTTGTTTTGCTTCTTCCTTTTGTGGTTCTGATGACTTTGCTTCAACTGGACTTTGCTCATCTTGTGTGCCTGAAAGTAGATACATAAATATTTGAATACTCCTCGCTAGCCTCAAGGGTCAGTTTTGAAAGTATCGGTAAACCTATTACAATACTGAGGATGCAAAAGATTCATTTGCTTTGAATCTTTGGTGCCATTAGTTGGTTCCTCATCACTATTACCTTGTTTTGCTTCTTCCTTTTGTGCTTCTGATGGCTTTGCTTCAACCGGAGTTTGCTCACCTTGTGCTAAAAGTCGATACATAAATGTTTGAATACTCCTCGCTACCCTCAAGTGTCAGTTTTGAAAGTATCGGTAAAACCTATTACAATACTGAGAATGCAAAATGGGAGTGTATATACACAACTAGTGCTTCCCAATAACTTCATCTGCATCGTTGCTTAAACATGACAGGATGTTAACTGATTCGGGTGGAAAAATGCTGATAAAATTTTAAACAGTGAATTACTGTGTAATTCATATCTATACCAAAAATTAACCTCTTTTGTAAAAAAAGAGCTCACAAATGTATCCCAATCGCTTCATCGAAAACATTCTCACATCAATTCGCATAAAATCAAAAGGTCAAAAGTAATTTCAAGTGCTTTTCGCCGTTACCATTTACCCTCTGCAATTACATTAGACTTTATGTTCGCTGTTATATATGTTAACATATAAATATGTCTGCAAATTGTTAGTTTAAAAATGATTTTCTCCTTCCGACTTCGTATTAAAATATGTAATACGAGTGGAACTTCAAATTTCATTGTAAATTCATCTTGAGTTCTACTGATTTCTGAGGCTAGTCACAAGTAAGACAACTTTCTTTCCATTCAAAAGCATGCCAACTCCTTCTGCATATACAAGATAAAACAAAAAGTTAATTATAAACAAATATTATGAATTCACTACCTTCAGCAACCTTCGGATCACCATTAACAACTGGACTTTTTGCTCCTTCTGTCGACGTATTAAATCCGAGATTATTTTTAACAGCATCTGCCGCATCGGCTACCTTGTCTTTAACAGCACCTGCCACATCCGCTACCTTGTCTTTAACAGCACCTGCCGCATCGGCTACCTTGTCTTTAACAGCACCTACCGCATCGGCTACTTTGTCTTTAACAGTACCTGCCCCATCGGCTACCTTGTCTTGAGCTCCACTTGCCGCATCGGCTACCTTGTCTTTAGCAGCACCTGCCCCATCGGCTACCTTGTCTTGAGTTTCACTTGCCGCATCGGCTACCTTGTCTTTAACAGCACCTGCCGCATCCCCTACCTTGTCTTGAGCTCCACTTGCCGCATCGGCTACCTTGTCTTTAACAGCACCTGCCGCATCTGCTACCTTGTCTTTAACAGTACCTGCCGCATCGGCTACTTTGCCTTTAACAGCACCCGCCCCATCGACTATCTTGTCTTGAGCTTCACTTGCCGCATCGGCTACCTTGTCTTTAACAGCACCTGTCGCATCCGCTACCTTGTCTTTAACAGCACCCACCCCATCGGATACCTTGTCTTTAACAGTACCTGCCGCATCGGCTACCTTGTCTTGAACTCCACTTGCCGCATCGGCTACCTTGTCTTTAGCAGCACCTGCCCCATCGACTATCTTGTCTTTAACAGCACCTGCCGCATCCGCTATCTTGTCTTTAACAGCGCCTGCCGCATCCGCTACCTTGTCTTTAACAGCACCTATCGCATCCGCTACCTTGTCTTTAACAGCACCCACCCCATCGGATACCTTGTCTTTAACAGTACCTGCCCCATCGGCTACCTTGTCTTGAACTCCACTTGCCGCATCGGCTACCTTGTCTTTAGCAGCACCTGCCGCATCGGCCACCTTGTCTTTAGCTCCACTCTTTAAAGCATTGAAATAGTCTTTTAATTGGTCCATTGTAGTGAAATTATGTTTTCGCATTATTGATCGAAATTCACTTATATCACTATCATCGGCTTTTTCTGAAGCAATTGTCATTATACCATTCGATGATCCTATACCAAGACAAATGCAAATTATGAGCACTAACATATTGAACTTACGGGAAAACCGCCTGAAGCTGTAAATCACTTTTTCGATGAAACTAGATGGACTACATGTAATTGTCGACGCTGATGCCAGATATGAACATCGGAGCTGTCCTTAGGCTTTTGTGAACCGTTTTGCTGAAAACTAGATCTCTAGAAAATCAGAGACCAAATTCAGAAAATTTTTCTGAATTGGTCGTTTTGTAGAGCACAGAAAACTGTCTATATTACATAAGTTTTAGTTTTTCAAAAGATTACTGAGCAGGGTTATGATTTTTGTAAAGTATCCTACTAAAAGCATTTTCGTCTTTATAAATAAGAGGTGATAGATAGAAAAGCAATGTTTCTATATTTTAGAATGCAACAGCATTTTCAACTAAATTTTATCTTTTTCTGAATTATTTTATAAGGTCATTTTTATAGTAAAGCTCATGATCATCAAAATTCGAAACTAGTAGGTATATTCGATTTAACCATTACAAACAGCTGTAAAAGTTGTAATGGAATGCCTTTTCATGGAGGCCCGATCTGTCTGAAAGTTTTTTTTTCAGAGAAAATTTACTGTTCGCCTAAAGAATATATTACGAAAGAGAAATTACTATTGATATTTTAGTTTTTTGAAAAGACAGTTCGTATTCTCTGTATTCAGCCAACTTTTGTTTTATCTTTAGTCTATTTTATGTATGACACTATCAATGAGCGAAATAGAATAATAATAAAGGATAAAATTTAGTTGAAAATGCTGTTGCATTCTAAAATATAGAAACATTGCTTTTCTATCTATCGCCTCATCATTTGTAAAGACGAAAATGCTTTTATACTTTATATGTTTATGCAATTACAAAACAAGGTAGTTACATATAAAACAATTCTAAATTATGTTGTATTCTAGCTATATCGACCTAAGGAACGGAATAGAGGACTAACGATCGATCAGAATAGGTGTCTGAACAGAGGAAGAGCAGAATATATTTTGAAACACTTTCTTTAAGTGAAAAAACTTCATTCCTACTGTTATATTTGATACAAAACATTTCAGTGTTCAAATGTCTAACTCATAGTCTATCTAAATTTTCATTTTATCTACCGCTGTGTCTTTCAAGTCTATAGCAGCCTTGATCACTTTGCCGGCTAAATCAACTAAATTCGTTGTAACATCTTCAAGAATTAAAATTGATGTGAATTAGCTTACGGAAAAGTTGAATAAAAACTATTGATAAGAATAATGTTTTAGCTAATTCAAATCGAATTAAACTGTAAACTCACCGCTGATCAAATTCGACGTATTGTTTTTAGACTTTCTGCCAACATCTGATGTTTTATCTTTGGTTTCCGTTCTAGAATATGATCCTTTATCGTTATCACTCTAAAGAAGACGAATATTTATTGTAGCTATTGCATATAGAAAACGTTACAGAACAGAGCTTATGATTGGATAATAAAGAAATACTTATTTTAACATTTACATCTGATATTTTGTTCTTAGTATTATTTTCTTTTTGTATTAGTTTACGTTTGTTAGCACCACCTACATTTTCTGATGTATCGGCTCCATTAACCGAATTTTTACTTGAGGATCGATTATTTACGGTATTGGCAGATGATGCGGCAGATTTTTGTTTTTGTTGATCATCAACAGCATTATCTGTAAATAAAGAAAACAGAAGTCAATAATTAATATTTGTCTTATTAAAAAGTCTTCTAAGTACTTTCTACTTCAGTTACTTCCTAAAAACATTAGATAGTTATTGTGGAACGAAAAACGGTCAAGACATGTGAGAAAACTCTTTATCAGCTAGCCGTTTGCTACTTACTACTATCGACTGGTTCTTCTCGTACTTGATCACCTTCTTTCAATATAGACTCTCCTAATTCATAAAAAAGTTGACATAAATTTTTTGTTTCTTTTGTACACACTTTCTGACATAATGTTTCTGGTTTTTCATCTTGTAAATTTGATTTGTCAATTATCCACTTATTTATCCTCAGAGCGCGAGTGCCATTGCATATAATTTTCCGTTTGAGTATCGCTGTATTTTTTACGTTATTTTGACATGCTAATTTGGTTGAATCAAATAGCATCTTACACAAAAGCTTTTGTTCTGACGTACCTGAAAATAAACATATTCTCATAAAGATATTCTCATTAATATATTTGAAATACTAGAAAAAAAATCATACTTCTTTTACTGTCATGTGTTGTTAAATAAGTTAGTATATCAGCATTTTCTCACTACTCTTCTTTCCAGTCGAAACTTTGATTCTTACTCGATCTAATGTGTCTCACACTTACCGTCTGTACATAGTTTATTAAGATCAGTGTGAATTGTTTGAATCTGACTACCATTTCGAATATATTGTTCTATTGTGCATGGTGGTTTAATGTCTTTTAATAATTCGAGAAAATTAAAACCTTCAATACTAGAAGTTTCAGTGTAACACGATTTAACAAAAAATTGTAAAAAAATTAAGCTAAAGAACAATAGAATCGACATGTTTTTTTTTCAATTTTGTGAATTTCTATGGATTAGAAGAAGTTGATAATGAATATCATAATTGAACAATACCAATCTAAAACAAAAATAAACAAAAATCATTTAGTGAAGAATTACGAACAATTATTCTGAGAAGACGTTCGAAAACAATAATAAAAAGATGTTTTTTTCTTTTATCAATGTTAATCAAAGATTAAAGATTTTTTTATATATTTATAATGTGTAATATCGTTAAACAAATGAGATGATACTCGTGATCATAACTAAGAATCGATGAACAGTCCTTGGCTTACTAGTAAGTAAAACTTCAGCGTGGCAAGTTAGAAAAACATTTTCAAAAGCGTGCTTGAAGAAACACACGATTCACACCTCTACCTACACACATGTGAATCTATTACTGTTGGATAGAACAACACTGACATTTTATTCAAACAAAAATATCTTAGTTATACTTCAATTAGCGCTGTTAAATGTATCTAAAAGAAATTCAACTCACTATCTCATATAGTGACTCATTGAAGAATTTTGTAAAGAAAGAAGCAGCGAGCTAAAAGTTTTTCTGTGTATCATCCTGGAGAAGGCTCAGGGTAACAAACCTCTGAGGGAAGGCCATAGTCTTGCAGAACATTCCGTATCTGACTTGTAAAAGTAATAACGCACAATAACATGACTTTCACAGTTCATTAATTCCAATTCACATGAACAAATGAGTGATGATTGATAACATATCACACCTCTTGAACAATAATAAACCGAAAATCGGGTGAAGTAAAAAAAAGACATTAAACTAGAATTAATTCTTTTTACAAGTAAAAGTTTCTTTTATAATTAGAAAACATCAAGTAACAGACAAGAAATAATTTATCTACTGAGATAATTTAATATGACCAATAGAAAAGGTAAGTTATACAAAATCCCAAGGAAGCTTATATAAAGTTTTCGTTACGCTTTTTTGTATGTCTACACAGAAGAAAAACATTATAAAGTATACTGCCTTTAATAAGCTAAAGATATGTACATTTTCAGAACGAAACAAAAACCAAAGACGTTAGTAACTGAATACATATTTCTGTTTACTGCTACCTGTATTTTTTCTTCTCTATAAGGAACCCTTTGAATATGGCTTTAATAAGCGTCTCAAAAGAAACAAAAAAAAATCATTACTATTTTTTTTTCAAATCGATCAGAATGAAAAAAATATAGTCAAGATAATTTACCGAGAAATTTTAGCCAGATCTTTCTAGCTATCTCTGTTTCTCTTCTTTGATTGGATGAAATTTTGAGTGTTTAATACATAAAATTAAGTGTCATTAGAATTCGTGTAAATTTAAGGAGCAATTAGAGTATCATATCATAGTTACTACTAGCTTCAAATTAGCAAGGGTAAATATGATTACATTATAATCGAGGTATGTAGTAAAATTTGATTGGTGCATATCATATATTCTGTTTTTACGGTAGACACGTGTACTGGGTTAGTTTAAGCTACTTTTATTTCAAATCAATTGAAGTTTCCCAACATTAGTAATTCGACGAAGTCATTAGATACTAGTGTTGGGTTTAACACAAGGTCATAGTGCTATACAAACAAAAACACAAATTTAAATTGAAAATGTAATAAGCAAATAAACAAGTAAACAGTTAAAGAAGTAAATCACAGATGAAGTTGGTGGAAGGGAAAGAAGGTGATTTTTTGGAATTACGAAAAATGTTACATTTATAGAGAATATAGAGTTGTCAGTAGTTAAAATGAGAACACAAGGTTAACATTTATAAAAATACATGTTTTAAATCGATGCAAATCGCTTGGTTTCATTGATGTAGGTAACTATAAGTTGATAGATGTTAATATAATGATCGAAAGGGAGAGGAGTAGTCTGTAGTGGAAGAAGGTTCATGTCAATACGCAAGTCAGGATCGCATTCATTTATTTTATTAAAAAGTTTTTGACGGGCATCTGTGTAGTTCACACAGTACAAAAAGAAGTATTCCACCGTTTCTACTCCAGAGCATGCACAAAATTGCGAGTTAGGTATTTGTACGACATTTCTGTGAAAGAGATCATAGATTAGACAGATCGTAAGATTTGGTTTGATTTGTTAAAATCCGTCTAACAGAAACATTTTCTTTTAGTAATTGTTCTCCGCGTGACTTTAAACCTGACTTTGAATTTTCTACATATGTGATACGGTTTTGAAGGAATACTGGAGCCTGTCCAACTACAATTTTCTGTATTAACTGTATTTTACGACTCTCTGCTATTTCTACATATGGCAGCCATCCTAGTATTTTAGACAACTTATCTTTACTAGTAAAATGTATTGCTCCACTTACGATTTGAGCTGCTTCGTATTGCATATGCTCAATTTTATTTACATTTTCTTTTATCATACCAAAGTATACTTCACAACCGTATAAAATGACCGGTGAAAGAAGTGACTGATATATTTGATAGAGCGTTGATGTACTGAAGATTCTTTTAAATTTTTTCAAAAATAGTATTTTATTACATTTTTTAATCACATATTCACAATGTGCATTCCATTCTAACGTGGGTGTAAAAATCAACCCTAAATGCTTATATTCTTTTACTTCTTTCAAAACAACACTATTTAGTTTTAAATCTAGCAGAGCATTAATAGCTTTTTTGGTAAAAGTCATTGTTTTACATTTATTTTCATTAAAGGGCAACTGTCAGTTTTTAGACCACTCATTGATTTTTTTTTAAATCTTCACTTAACACTTTAGTGGCCGTACTAGCATCTTTTGATGAATAATGTAACAAAGTATCATCCGCAAACAGTCTTACTGTAGATACAACATTTTTTCCTATATTATCTGTAAAAATTAAAAACAGGAGTGGACCGAGGACGCTACCCTGCGGTACGCCTCTGTTTATGCATTTTGCATTCGACATCTTGCCATTTACAACTGTAATAATTTTTCTGTCACACAAATAACTCTTAAACCATTCTAACATTGTGCCTGTCACTCCCTTATTTTCTAATAAATGGTGTTTATATAGCCCATCATGCAAAACAAAACGGTGAACGTACGCAGGTACTTTAGTGGAACTTTTTCAGTAGCCAGTCTGTTTAGACACTTAGCTTGTATGTTTTATTGATACCGATACTCTGGATGGCTATCCCACAAAGACTTATTCAGCCTTCAGGTACTTTGAATTCAGTACATTTACTAGGTTGGTTGAGTTGGATATAAGAAAAAATAAGTGCTAAATTTAAAAAGATTATCATACTCAATATAACCATTCCTTGATTCTTTTCTACGATCGATATCGAAGATTAAGAAAATGTACACATTCGTCGATAATATATGTCGGTGAAATACTATCACAAGTTTAATGTTAAATAAAATCTATACATTTGAGTCATTCAACTATAATTCGTCCATTTATATTTTGCATTAAAAATACCTTCATATTTCTCCTGTACAGATTGGAAAGACTTTCATCCGAATTTTTTATGAAAAAGAGTACGAAAACACCAACTTCACTTGGAAAGATTTTGACTTTTAAAAATTCCCACAGAAAATTTCAGTTACTCAGTAGTCTGCGACGCATGCTAAACTTTTAGCACATAACAATGCGATGTTTCGTTTGTATATAATTTTTAAATAGTTTTCCAGCTACATATACATCGTGTGTCGATGATAAATAGGCCGCTAATACATTCAAATTATAGGGTGCCTGTTCAAGATAATATTTTGTTCGAATTAAATTTGACAGATGACTTTTGTGAACGGGATTTAATGAGCCCGTTGTGATTAGAACACAATTATCTTGATTATTTTATTCAATATTCCGAATTAATGGATCGATGTCTGATGTTTCTTCGGAATGAATTATGTCTCTTATTGGTCTAAAAATTTCAGTTTGTGAACTTGATTTTGTCTGATGTAAATGAGCACATTCAGTGATTCTAAGTTTCCACAGCGGTATGTTTCGCTTTTCTATCAACTCAAAAACATCATGTTCGTCGACTAATTAATCCATGAGTTATTGTTCTTCTCCTTAGGTTTATATTCGATCTTGTTTTTAACGGAGCACAAATAGGACTTGTTCAAGCACGTTTGACAATTTCACTCCAAATAAGCAATAGCACCATTTTCTTTGCTTTGCGTTTTTCTCTTTGGATTTTATTCATTTTGAATTTCAAAAAACTTATCGGCGCAGACGTTGCGTCTAACGTGGATAACCTAACCTGTCTAGAAACTAGTCTGGAAGTTTCAGTTTAAAATATTGTGTAATAAATCAATATTTTTTATTTTTATCTTTCATTGAATGTTGAATTTGTTTTAATGAATTAGTAAATGAGTGATTTATTTCAGCTTTTTCAGTCAATGTTGAATATTTATCAAGTGTTTTAATAAATTAGTAAATGAGTGATTTATTTCAGCGTTTTCAGTCAATGTTGAATATTTATCAAGTAATTGTGTTCCGTTCAATTAACCACATAATATGTTCTAATCGATTAGAAATTCTTAATTTTAATGGATAGAAATATCATGATCTTTAAATGGCTTTAGTAGTAATTTCCATGCAAGTAACGTTCGTCTTCGACTCACTCGGTTCTTGACGTTAAACCATAATAATCGCCTTTTTACAAATAGTTAATGAACGTAGGCAAATATCTGCAATATATCGCATATAGATTACGCCTGATTACTCGACTCGCTTTGTTCGTCTCGAACCAAGTCGACAAATGTAGAGTAGCGAGATAACAGATTCCTACGCGTCGGAAAACATGTCCAGTCTTCATTTCATACCGTCAGAATCTCAAAGATCAGAAAAGCCTTTACGTTTCCAGAACACCTGGAGATCCTATGACGGCGAATCCATGTTCAATGTCCATTTTACACATAAAGAACAGGAAACTTGCAGGTTTTGCAGAGAACCTGTGAAGAGCTCCTAAAAGTCCTGTGTAGGAAAAATAAGATTCTCTATGTGAAATTGTCTCTAGCCTATAAGGTTTAGATAGACCCTTTCCCCCTATAGTTACTCTATTTTTGAACTCCTCCATCTCTAATTAAACACTTTATGTTTTATAAAGTTATAGTTAGTATTAAATATTTTATGTTCAAAATTGCAAAATTTCGACTTCTCAATGCAATATGTTAATTTAACATTTGCCCAGAGTATAACTGTAATCCTTTACCTGGCTTGTAATTTGCTTTGCTGTCTTTCTGGTTCTTTATGACATTGATCAGATTAAGATACTGGGAGACTTTTATTACTAAGTGATTATACATACCTAAATAGACAATTACCATCCCCAACAATAGGATGAATAACACTCGACTTACTTGATATGGTGACAGCATGTTCGGCTCTAAAATATGACCACGCAAAATTCATCAATTTGCTTGTATCGTCTAACAATTGTAATCCAATAATTCTATGTATCAGCCATATCATATTCGGTGGATAAAATGGAATTTTATCGTCTACAATATGATTAGTAACAACATATAGGACAAGGTCTAGACAAACGTAAAGACACATTGAGTTGCATATCGAACTACTAATGAACGACCAGAAAGCTCTTTGTTCTTCTCATATTATTTGATTTTCGGACGCGACAACCACCTAGATCCTAATGCTTTACATAATTTTAATATCTGATCTATAGCCCGAAAGCCTTATGAAATTTATTTATTATTGGTTATTTTCAACTGTTTACGAGTTGGCGTTTACCTGATCAGTTAAGGGAAAGAGAATAGTCAAATAGAGTTTGAAGTTCTTAAAAGTAATTCTGTGAATATTTGACCACATCTACAGGCAGTATATCCCCTAGTTTGAAACTTCTAGAGAAAGAGGACTGGGTTACCATCTGCGAATATCATACTAAAGAGCTTTCGAAATATCCATATGATATACCTCTAGGCCATGAAGAATAGCACTGCACGAAACTCACGTAACACAGAATAATTTGCCGCTGAAACTATGACGATGCAGTCTCTAGATGAAAGAAAGCACAGTCTGCACTTGAACAATATGGTCTACCTGAAAAACGTAGAAGAGAAGAAGAGCTTCAAACTAATGTAATTTCTACTTGACTAGGACTTATCGTTAATTAGCAGAGGTTTGTTTCAGAAAATTCCATGTATTTGAATGGACAGGCCGGAATTGATGGTTCACGCAAAATAGCTTATCAGCCGGAATTACCCTACGTGGGATGATTCCGCCCGATTTGGAGGTTCCTGTCTCCTTTTGAATACTGGTCGGATACGGAGGAGTTTTAGGGGGCTTTTACCTCAGCGGATAGAGAACTGTTAGTTCTATCTTCATATTCAATAGCTCGCTTATCCGATTAAAAACGTCTTAGGAATACGCAAAATATTATTTAACTTTGTGCAAATGGCCGGAATTACCCCATACGACTCTACTATTTTTCGGGTATTTCAACACTAGAAAAACTATCTCTAAGAAAAAATAAAATACACGAATAAACACGGTGTAGCGATACAGTCAAAGCTGTTCAATATTCTTCTGAGAAGTCCAAATTAAAAAACTAATATTTGAAAAGTTTTACTTTGATTTGACTCAATTTATTTCATTAAACCAACGTACACAAAGAAAAGCTAAAAGCCGAACTGATGTCGTTCATCATCGTTTACATTTATTGCACAGAGATGTCGCCACTTTGATCTACAACATTTATCGAGAAGATTGTCTAGACTACAAAGCTATAAATGTCCAACATTCTGTCCAATTGAACGATTGTACTGAGAAAGACTTACTCAAAACTCAGACTTTCAGACGATTTACCGTACATAAAAGAACATTTTGAGAATAGTAATGTTCAAATTGCCGGATTTATTACCATTTACATCGTCTGCCAACATTATTGGAGAATCATCTGAATTTCAAAATGCAGAAGTTGATATTTGGACAAGGTATAGTTTGTTTCCTGTTTTTTTTCAGGCAAATATTTGCGTGAGGCTGGAGATTTGAACTGCAGGAGAAAAATTTCTATTGTTTCGGTATAGGGACAAAAGTCAAATGTCTGCCTACCCCAGTGAATGTACTGAAGACAAGATACCCGAATAGATATCCTGTTACCGGTGGTGTCACAAGTATCCGCAAAACTTTTGGATAATTGAGTACTTTAAGATACTTTTGGAAACCTATATAAGTACTCTGGAACTTTTTCAGTAATTGGATATCCAATCAGTCTGTTTAGGCATTTAGCTCGTATTTTTTTATTGATACCGATACTCTGGATGGCTATCCCACAAAGACTTATTCAGCCTTCAGGTACTTTGAATTCAGTACATTTACTAGGTTGGTTGAGTTGGATATAAGAAAAAATAAGTGCTAAATTTAAAAAGATTATCATACTCAATATAACCATTCCTTGATTCTTTTCTACGATCGATATCGAAGATTAAGAAAATGTACACATTCGTCGATAATATATGTCGGTGAAATACTATCACAACTTTAATGTTAGATAAAGTCTATACATTTGAGTCATTCAACTATAATTCGTCCATTTATATTTTGCATTAAAAATACCTTCATATTTCTCCTGTACAAATTGCAAAGTCGAATCGTTTAATCATAGACAAAAGAATTTTTTACGGTTTTTTTTTCATTTTAGATTTTTAGAGAAGAAATTATCTTATTTTGATTTTACAGATCATGATCGGCTACAGTTGAGAAATATATTTTTAAAAATATTATCCAATATTCTAAAATATGAACGGTATGGAATAGATCTATCGATAGTTAATGTTCAGTTCAATCATTTGTACTTGTAGAGAACAAGATTTTCAATTACTTGATGCTGTATCAAAACGTCTCATTGAATGTGCCAATGATTTATCTCAAGATAATATACTCAATGATGATGAAATCCGTTCAAAACTTCGTTTATTACATAAAAAACTTAGTCAGCCAACAAAGTATAAAAAAAGATATTCGTGTATTAATAATCTTATTGAGTTATCGGATAACATGTATCCAAAATGGGTATGGATATTGGTTATAACAGTATTTTTTCTCTGTATCATTTTATGGTCACGTTTGTATTTTAGGATAGTCTATCTCCAAAATTCAGTCGAAACACGGATCGTTTGCCACCAATTACTAATCGTTCACCAGATACCTATATATCACTGCCAAAAAAGAGAACTATTCCACAGTCCACTATAGTGAGTAATATCTCAATTCTAATTTAATTCAACTTTCTTCTATTGACTATAAGCATTTTTGATATCTCTAACTTTTAGAAACAAAATATAGAAGGGTAATATTATAGCTCTATGCAGCAGTGCTATGATTTTCGTATATCTGTACTGCATAGGTTAGATCTACATTGGATAATTTTTGGAAAAAAAATACTTTAATCAATGTTGCTTCTTTTTCATGCTTTTTCCTATCATTATTGCAAAACATTGCTTTTATTTTTTGGCTAATCCCAAGCAGAGCCCGAAATAAATCAAGAAAAGTGAATTCGATTTAATTTGACTCAAACTGTTCAAAATTTGATTTGATTCGATTTGAGATAATAGTTTCAGAATCTAAATTGGTTTGGTTCGATTCAATTCGATGAAAAATTGAAGCTTTCTCATTCTTTGTTGTCGAATGTTCGTTCAAACTTTGAACAGAACATGTCATTTATGTGAAAACTTTCAAAAGTGAATCAAAGCAAAACAAATAAAAGAATACAATATGAACAAGAAATTCTTTGTTTTACAAAATTAGTTTTTTCATTTATTAATTTCGATCGAACGTAAAAAGAATGTGTTGTTGACTGTTAATGACTCTAAATCTGAGCGAATTAAGAGTCAAAGCATGAATCAGATGAAGAAAAATGAATTTAATTCATTTCGGTCACTAATTCCTAGTTTCCATTTTTAGAATCCAAAACGTTTGACAATGCATGGTTCACTTACATTACAAAATATTTATCAATCACTACCAGCTGCCGCCAAATATTTTGCCGAAGGTATTCATTGTTTGTATGCACATGAGTTCTCTGAAGTGAATCAATTTTATTCTCTCTCATTTTAGACGAATATGTCTGGCATGAAAAACGTCCAGCCAATGTTATTTTAGCTACCGGTGTTCAAATACCAAATGTTCTTACTACATCTACATTAAATACAAATGAAGAAAATGAAAAGTTTTTTGATAATTTAATTATGGATCTACTTGAACATCAGAAACAACATGCACGTACTACAAAATCCATTCCAGACTATCCACGAGTAAGATGATGATCAATAGAAGTTAAACTATTCAATAGTGCATAATACAATTTTAAAATACAATAATATTAATCTATCTACTGTTTCATTCTTTTAGGATGTGATAGTTGAAATGAATGGTTTTGAAGCTTTATTGGATTTAGTTCAACGTCGTCATTTAGGAAAATTAGAACGATATTTTTTAAATATTGCAACGAATAGACATTATAATCCGTATGATTTAATCACAGTAGCAGAGCATAAGGTAAAACTTTTCTGCTTATGATTTATGACTATCTTTCTATAAACATATATATTTAATTATTTTAAGGCTGATCCTTCTGAACACTATGTTTTCTCTGTATTTGGAATATTAAATATTAGAAATTCTGGTTTTGATATCGAAAGTTTAGAATTAGCCGAATGGTATCGTCATGCAAAATTATGGAATGCATGTAGACAAATACCATTTTTTAAAAATTATCTATTAAGAAAAGAATTTGATCTGTATGTAATTAATTATTGATATTACATAGTATTTTAAAAAAAATATTTATTTTTTATATTATAGTTGGTTATCAAATGCTCGATATACAAAATATGCTCGAATTCGTTTAGAAGTGAGACAAAATCATTTGTTATTATCAAATACAATATTTCAAATATCAATTATTGAGATTAGAAAACTTTTACTTGAATATGAACGAATACCATTACTTCCCATATTTGAGACAAAGTAATATAATTGATTATATTATTCTAATATAAACTGAAAATATTATCTATTTTTTCTAGTTGTACATTATCGTTGAATGATTTTGAACAACTTGTCAAAAAGTATATCGAAGAAACAATTGGTTATACAATAAAATTTTTTAAGTAAAATAATTTTGATTGTTGTTTTATACAATATTTAACTTATATTTTTATTAGTCATGTGAAAACTGTTCTCGATTTGGGACGAGAAACATTATCAAAAAAATTACATGCTGTTCTTCAATGTCTTCACGAAGATAGTATTGCCTTGTAAGTTGAAGTTTTAAACATTAGATGTAGATCCATTTCTTTTTCTTTTATTTTATAGTAGTGCAATTGGTGGTTCGATTCATGAACAACGTTTACGAAAAGAAAGTTTGAGAAAAGATCTTGAACAAATGCAAAATGATATAAAGTAAAAAATAAAATATTACTATTGAATAAATATATTTTTTAACTCTTTTTATTTTTCTTTCTTTTAAGAAATATTTGTCCATTTTTAAATTTATGCAGTTGTATGTTATCATCTTATTTATGCAATATTGAACGTGAATCTCTAAATCAATTTTCAAATCTTATAACATCTTCAACAACTAATTCAAATATAACATTTTTAACAACTTTACATTTAAATGATTATGAATGTATGTAGATAATTTGTTAGAGTGTTTAACTAGTCATGATTTTTACTGTGATTTTTTTCTTTTTAGCTACCAAAATGTTAATGTGTTTACCATCATATGATGATTATTTAGAACTGCTTCATACTGTGTTAAATCAACCTCAAAAAATATTAATCAACGGTTGGGAACAAATGAATCTAAATACATGTCTAAAAGATGTGGAAAAATTCGGAAAAGATATGCAACAAGATGGGTATGTTATCTCAGATTTATCTAGTATTATTGAAAGATAGTTGAAAGAAAACATTGCCAATTTCAATGTCACATTTCGAAATGTAAAGCTTTTTGATCAATGAATACCTGACAGACCTAACAACAAAAAAGACTCCATATGAAAATCATTACTATTTTTTAATTATATTTTTTTCTTACACTTGTTTCTACAATTCGATGAAATGCCTTGAAACAGGCTTATTCTAAAAATTTGAAGGATTTGAGTTGAAAAATAAGGACCCTAGACGGTTTTTATTGTTGGATACTCGTAGGAAAAAATTGAAATTTTCGGAAAATTCGTCTTTCAACGTTCCCTTAATTCGGACAATAAAATAAATATTGCTACGATATTCAGTACAGTCGATAACCACATGTTTCTGAGGCATCCACAGTTCAGGTTTAGCCGATAGGTAGATTCCCGAAAATTGCCTGTAGTATCCGAACCATGATAGATGGAGAACTGGGACTCTCACCAGTAGAGGGATATCTGCTCTATAATTCTATATATTTAGAGCAGTATTTCATTATACAGATTTTTAAAATGGCAAGCTCGGACTTTTTGCTTTAAACGGTACACCAAGGTTGACCTGTCGGATCTTGCTCAAGCTTATATAGGATTACGTCCACGGTGTCTGAAGAATCTGAAAACCGCAGGTCTTTATCCCTGTTCGTTCTCGAGTTATTCAAAAAACATCCGAATACATCATATTTTGAAACAGATAGTAATTTTAGATAATTTATTTATGATTTTAGGTTAACTCGGGTTTGTGAAATGTGTGGTCAACAAATATTTACAGTACTGACTACAATGCCAACATGCACATGTCGTCATCAAAATAAAAGTATAAAAAAATATCAAAAATACGTCTAGTTTTTGTTCAATAATTTGCTGCTCTTGTAGTTAATCAATCAGCGGATCATAGTCCCGTTAATGAAACATCAAAATCTATCATTCCCGATCAATTATCAATACCGATCGTTCAAGGTTATGGTTTTTATGGAACAACAAAACAAAATCAACTTATTGGATTCGAATCCATTTTCATAAACGAGTATGTTCATCAGAGTTAAATAGACTAAAAGTTGACAATATACTAACTAACTTGAGCCACCATGAGTTTAATAAAACATTGTCTGTCTGAAGAGAACATCGGATTTGATCACCATATTTTCATTCTTAATTTATCGGACGATCCAGGAATAGTTTTATCGATTTCTTTGTAAGTATTTAACCAGTAAAATTTGCGCTTAAGCTTATTCGATTGAGAATCTAATTTTCTACAAAACTGTATTAGTTTTAATAGAAAATAATCTTGATTTCACCATTAAAACATGAAAAATCGAATGAGTTTAAGCGCAAATTTTTACTAGCTTAATACCTACGAAAAAATCTAAAAATAAAACTGAGTCATTATTTCTGAACCATCCAATAATGACACCTAGTATATACAATAAAAGCTGATGAAAAACTTAAACTTTCAATTGACGTAAAATTTATTTCCGTATGAACTTATCAAAGGATATAATAATTAACGAATGGTATTTATAAATACCATCGGAAAAGAAAGGATTAATTAATTAACTTTAAGTTTAATTGATGGTTCCTGTTTCGAAATACTTGCAGTCTGATTAAAAATAATTATAGACACCTCATGTTTGCGTGCCGTCTTGTCTTACACTTTTATCCACCAATTAAAACAGTTTAATGAAATGGTGAAGTACCACAACATTCGACAATGTTTCAAATGTTACAAAACCAAGTATTTAGCTTTTTAGCTAAACTGAGTCTCGGGGTAACGTTTATTTTCATTAAAAGTTTTGAAATCAAGTGAAAATCTACTTTAGGTGAACAACTTGAGAGTGAAGATGAGAGGTGACTCATTTTCTTATTATTCTTACCGAAAATTAAAAATTTGATGAGTTTTTTTCTCTGTGGAACGACATATTAGTTCAGAACTTCCAATAAATCGTTAATTTATGAATAAACGTATAAAATATCAGAAGTATCAATAATTAACATTAATCAATTATAAATTAATATCCAAAAAAAAACTTTATTTTTGAATTCTTTTGATCAAACTCCAAAACTCCAAATCCTTGGCTAGTAAGCTAAGCGAGCATGACGTTTCTATAATTATGTTTGACCGAACTGCAGGCTTTTTGACACAGGAATCAGAATATTTAACTTAAATTTAATTAACTGTGAATATTTATCGGTTCATCGAAGAAATCTGAGGATAAATGTTGTCAAGTGTTCTCTTCAGACAGACAATGTTTGAAGGTACATAGAGGAGAAGGTCTTTCTTCAGATTACACCCGAAAGATATATATATATTCGTGTAGTCAATGAAATAAAGATTTTATTTCAAAATCTTATACTTTTTCTTATTAATTTTATTCTGACGAAAAAAATTATACTTAGAAACCGACTCCTTCACTCTACAGGTTAAGATCCAGAACTCCACAAAACTCTGGATCCAAACTAGGATTTCAGTGTTTTGTTTTTGAAATTTGACATTGTCTGAGACCATTGCCTGCAAATGTACAAGAATATTTTATTTATTTGTCTTCTTTTTAGTACTGCTTATTCGGAAAAGATTTCTGATATATTGTCAAAAGTGAAAGAGGCATTTGATGAAATTGATCAATATTGTGAACAAAACGACTGGCTTATTGAAATAAATCGATTTTGTGTACAATGGACACCAAATCAAATGAAACAAATGTCAGAATCAAAACAAATTTTTTCTATTGAAGTAAGATTTTTAAATAATAAATAAATAAGATACATCATTTGTCTATTTTTGGGTCCAGTGGTAACAAAATATCGCTAAATAAATGAAAATTATCTACTAACATAGTTTATTGTAGAAACAAAACGAACGTTGATGTTATATATATATATGTTTTTTTGTCAGGAACATTGTACTATGTTACGTGGATGGATTGATAAAACTCGTACATTCGAATTATCTTATTCCACTTCAACTCAATTGCTAAAAATAGATTGTTCAGTTATTTCACATCAATTATGTACGAAAGTCGAGACAATTTATGAAAATTTTGGAACATATCTATATCGATACACATTTACAGATTCACAATCATTAATCGATAAATTTCAACATGCTATAAACGTAAAAAAGATTTAATTGTTTACTTTGACTTGTTTATTTTATAACTATTATTTTAGATATTTGATAATATTCCAGCATCAATCGAAACGTTTGCTAATTATGCATCATTTCTTACAATTCATAAAACTCAATTATCAAATTATCAAGAAACTATTGAATATTTAAATAGTTTGTTTGAGGTAAAAAAAATCTCTCTCCTTTTCTTTTCTTATATTATCACTATTGTTTTCGTCTTTTCTTTTATAGATTCTTCATCTCCATTATGCAAAGTTTTACAAAGATGAAACAATTGATAAACGTTTACAAGAGTGTTGGAAATTATTTCAATTAAAATTGAGTGAAGCAGCTGATTATGTTGCGTCGGAAACATTGATAATTACAGAACGATTAAGAGATGCATATGAGGTAAGCTGTAGTTAAGGTGTCTAGGAGAATCTAGTTAAAATGTGAGAAATTTTTCGCAAAAATTTGTTCTATAAATCATCAGAACAAACAAAAAAAATCGTTCAAATCAAATTGATTTTACTTGTGATTTCAAAATGGTAGTAAGGTTTTATCGGTCGCGGTTGGATAGAGCCCGTTGAGTTGCATAGAAAAATGTACATTTTAAATTTTTTAAATACATTTTTATATGAAAAAAGTTTCAAAATATACAAATTTTGAAAATAGTCAAGCAAAATTGAGTGAAATTTTTAAAAATAAGAGAAATTGTAACATTTACTATTATTTCTAAGCTTCATAACAAAATTTGGTTGAATGTAAACGTAGAATAACAAGTAAATTCTTAGAACAATTTTAGAATCCTTGAAATCGGTACTGTACGTCTTGTAAACCTATCTAGCTTTGAAAACGTTAATTACTGACATTAGTGAGCGAAAACAACGAGAAAATTTGCGGAGGAATTTCGCTTTTGATCTTCTTTCTATTTGAATTTTTTCCAAAACTTTTGTTTGTATTGAAAATTTCTCGTTGTTTTCGCTCACTAATGTCAATAATTAAATTTTTCAACTATGCAGCAATATAAATCAACACGGATGTATACCTTTTTTTTCTCCTAGGTATAGTGATTAGAATGAAATAGGAAACGAATGCTAAGTCTTTCAATTAAAAAGCTAGATACTGCACGTTTACAAGATGTGCAGTACCCATTTCAAGGATTCTAAAATTGTTCCAAATTTATCTAAAACTCTTTATTCTGTTCTTCTTTTTGTAGGTTAACACATTTGTTCATTTCGAAATAAAAGTTTCTTCTCTTCACCAAATCAGTCAAACTCTTTCTAACAAAAGGATAAATATGAGTATCAAGAACTAAGAATCATCTGTTAAGATTTTCGTTAATGATTGGTAACAAAGAGTGTCAGAGTTATCCATGTCTTGCTGAAATTTTGCTTTGTTTTTTGTTTTTAAATAAGACAAGATCATAAATACTGGATTAAAAAGTTCGCCATCGATATCATAGCGATCAGAGAATGTTCTACTTTTAGTTTAAAGACATGAATGAGTATTATTAGAGAACACCATTAAAGAGACTAGAATTTGTTCAGTGCTCAGTATTTTTCGGCACAAACTAGTCCTATCTCTACTTTGAATAATTCTATCTTGCTTTTGTTTAGAAATACATGAATGAAGCCGAAATATTGTATGAAACTTCAACGTCAGGTATTTATTTGGAACCGGATCAAGATCCAGTGCAAATGGCAAAAGATCTTCGAAAAGTAAGGTAGCGGTTTCTTGTATATGACAAAAAATTAAAATTATTTTCCTTTTATTTTCTGTAGAATTGTCTGGAATTTATGAGTGTTGAAAAACAATTGCGTCAATATTCCAAATGGCGTGAATTGATTAGTGGCGAACCGTACGATATTAACGTGGTTGAAGAATGGTCAACGGCCATCGATTTGAGAAAAGATCTGTGGAAATATTTAGAAATTACAAATAGTAGTATCAGAGAATGGAAAGATACTCCAATTCATAAAGTAAATAAAGTGGCGAATATAATTTTAAACAAATATTTGTTTTTGTGATTTTCTATCTCCTGCACATAATATGATATAGCGGAACTTTCTTCTGCTGTGAACATCCAACACTAGTGTCTACTAGTGTGACCTAGAAAAAGTTTTAAAATTAGGCTGTGTTGGGATGAATGGAAAGGAAAACACTTTCCCTTCAGCGGACATAATTTCAAATGATTTTTTGTATTTTTTATTTCTTGAACTAAAATAAAAATTCGATTAGAATTATGTCCACCACTTTAGATAAAATACACCGAATGTGTGTGAGAAGTTTCACTTGTCAATGTCTCATAAACCGTACGAACCAAATCCGACTGTCTTTCTGATTTTTCTTTCTTTAGATATAACAAAAAAATAAGAAAAATTTTATGTAAAACTTCTTTTTTAATTTTTGAAAGTTCTAGCCGAGAAACGAAGAAGAAAGCCCGAACGAATGAAGTTTTCGATAGATTATGATGAATCTGGATGAAAACTGGGGATCAATTGAAAATTTGTAGAACAAAACGAAAGAAACTTGACAGTTTTTTCTTTCGTTTTAGTTTAATGTTCGCCGTTGTCAAGATAAAATTGATTGTTGGTTAAAAATTGCCGAAGATTTCAAGTATAAATTACCTGAGAACGATGCTGTATTAGAACATTGGTTAACAATTCTCAATGAATTTCAACAACATTTAGATATGTTAAAAAAATTATTGAGTGACGCTATGACGGTAAGTCTGTTTTCTACTTTTTCATTATTACTCATAAAATTTTGTTATTTTAGCCCGAACAATGGACACTATTATTTCGTGCCAATGGTCAAGTGTATGATCCACAACAATCTTATAAACTAGAAGATTTACTTAATTTAAATATTTTACAACAAAATCAAAATATATTTTTAACAATTCATAAACAAGCAACACGTGAACAAAAATTAAAAGATAAACTGAGCTATCTACAAACATGGTTAAATGAATTACAATACAGAATGGCTAGATATAGGCCCTCATTAAGGACGACACCAGGTATCTTTATATTAACAATAATTATATGTCTCTTTTTACATATTTTTTTGTTTTTAGTTCATCGTCGTTTAACATCTTCTTATCGTCAACGTTTAAATCGTTATCGTGAATTACGAACACGTTTATCTCAAACATCTTCAAATACAACGCCAGACATTGGTGGTCAATCATCACAAATTACCGAAGCTTACATTGTTTTAAACACAGAAGAAATTTTACATTTAGTTGAGGTAATCATATATTTAATATCATACACTAGTAATAAATCAAGAATATCTTAATAAAATTGCAACTAAAGTGATTTAGATCACTTCTTATGGACAAGTCTTCATTACTCTTTTGTCTTTATGAGAAACTATACTTTTTACTGTCTTCACTTCTGTAAACAATACAATACTGTATGGAAAACAATTTTTCGTTCATTCAATTCATTTCTAATCATTAATATTTCAGAATAAAAATCTTTTTTACCATTTTCGAGGTAGGAAATTTTTCCAAAATCAATCTATTTTTTAGATCTCGAGAATAAGGAACTAACTACTAAGTACCCTGAAATATCGTCCCAGATATAAGGTAAAACTTTTAGTCTAATCGAATGAAGTTTTTGAGAAGTTGTGTGACAACTGCAGTTTTCCAGACAAACTATAGCGAAACATGCCTCAAACATTTGCGCAAAAATTGATTGATTTTCTGTTTTTCAATATTCTATCTCAGATATAATCGCTGTACCTTGTTCTTCACCTTTATTATGAAAGAGAAAAGAGGGATATACATTTAGATTTCATAGCTATATACGACGTTTCAATTTTTTCTTCAGTTGTGTGTAAACCCCCCCCATAATAGAAGCCTCCGGGGCTTCTAAACTGTCCGAGTGTTCAAAATTTTTAGGGGGGGGCTTGTATTACGACGGGGCTACTATTACGACTTTCGTACAAAAATTTTCAGAAAAAAAAGGAGATTTTGAATTTCGATGCTCTTGCCTTTCTAATCACGGTAATCTCAATTAATCTGAAAAAAATCTTTTTCGAGTTAAAAAATATAAATTTTATTCGTTTCCTTTTTTTACACACGACATCACACAAGAACAAATAAAGTAAAAAAA